GAGGACCTAGCAGCTAGGACACACAAGTAGCCATCGCACAAAGCAATAAATATTTCATTAATTGTTAAGCTTTGGCAGGGTCTATTATTGTGTTTTTTTTTTCTTTTAAATAAATATGTTTGGTTAAAATTTGTTTTATTTGCTATCAACTGAGAACTCAGGTTCAATCTCTATTTTAAGACAAGACGAACTCAACCTTGAGATACTGAGCTAGGCAAGTTATAGACGATAAGCTCCCATGGTTGATTGAAGTATTATTTTCACAATCTTACTTCAATTCTCTTTGGTAGTCTTATCGTTACACATTGGTCCAGTTAGCCCTAGACTCCAGCACAGATCAGAGGTAATGTAAGTCAATAAAACCTCCACAAATACAGGAGGTCGTGTAAAATGCCTCCATTTTCAGTTTTTAGTAATCTACAAGTTAACAGTCTATGGACATTTACCTTCATAAAAACCTTGAGGATAGTTTTTTAATACGGAGGTCCTTCCTATCTTTTCATGTAGCCATACAATGTTTTTTTGACAATTTTTTATTAAACTGATGATGGAATGAGTCAATTACGAAAAGATCTTCTTTAAAATAAAAATTTTAAGCTTTTAATAAGCATTTTTTTTTATACCTTAATACACACGACCACCACGTGCTTATACTAATCCACTCCTGGATATCTCACTTCATGATTTGTTCCAGTTTCACTTTTAATTCAATATGACAATGTTTACATCTAATTTTAAAATGTTATTTCGATACAACGAAAAGTAGACAATAGTTACATATTTTATGAAATAAAAAAGCACAACATGTAATTTGAAACCAAAGAACATTTTGTATTTAAACCACGAAAGTAAAAACTTCCACAAGTGCAGTTTTCCAGGAGTTCAGAGATTGGCCTACCTCTTATAGTTCTCGGACAAGAGTCTAGAGCTGTCCTCTGAGAATTTCAGAATTATGTTAGAACTTGTCCGGAATTGCATGGCGGTGACGCATCAGCTATTAGTGACATCACCGCAGGGAGACACAAAAGAAGGTCGGCGATAATTGAATTGTCACAGTAGATATTGCAGATTTCGCTATATAAGACTTTAGGAAACGTTGCTGTATGTAGGTTACGAATACGAGTACGAACACTTTATGATATCAAATCGTGTTCATATATTTGTAGACACAAATCTTTCATAGTCGGTGTAAATTTAAAACGTAGCTTTGTTTTGTGTTGTTTGAAAACGTATTTTATAAGAAAATATGTGACAAAAGAAAAGTGGAGAATCACAAGTGTTGAGAAAAAGTGGTTGATTCCAAAAGGTCTTAAGTCAAGAAAGTAAATTTTTAGGAACGAATTTTTTCTACGTTTAAAAATAAAATTAAATGTTACTTTGGAATAGAATCACTCATGTAATTTGGAGGTTCAAAATCTTGTTTTATGATAATTAAAAGTAAGATTTGAACACAAAATCATGGCTTATAAGAAACACTTCCAAAGCACTTTTGGAAAATCCATGTGGGAGATAACTTTATATTATTATCCATTTGTAAGTTAATTGATAATCAGAGCTTGTCTTTAAGGTGACAGCAAAGGTTTAATAACTATCTAAGTACCTAATTAAAAATTAATTTTATTCATCAAAATTAATTTTTTAAGATAATTAAATTTTAGATAATTAAAAGTAAGATTTGAACACAAAATCATGGCTTTTAAGAAACACTTCCAAAGCACTTTTGGAAAATCCATGTCGAAGATAACTTTTATTATTATCCATTTGTAAGTTAATTGATAATCAGAGCTTGTCTTTAAGGTGACAGCAAAGGTTTAATAACTATCTAAGTACCTAATTAAAAATTAATTTTTATTCATCAAAATCAATTATTTACATTATTAATTTCAAAACGTAAACCTAGTTTGATATGCTTACAAGAAACCAACTTAAAAAAAAACAAAGCTCACGACTTAAAAAATTTAAAATGCTTCTTTAGAAATCGAGAAAATGCGAAAATTGCAAGCGGAGCAGTACCAATCTACATAAAAGATAGCTTTGACGCTAAACCAATCGAACTCACAACAACTATCGAAGCAACTGGAATTAGAGTCACAGACACAATTTCTTTTTCAATTGGCAATATTTACATTTCCCCCAATAAAGCAACCGATTCAAAAGAAATTTCAAACCTATTAAATCAACTATCGGCTCCACGGATAATAATTGGAGATTTCAATGCACATAATCCGTTATGGGTTTCAACAAAACTAACATCTCTAGGTCGAAAAATGGAAAAAATAATAGATGTCCAACTTAAATATCCTTAACGACGGACAACATACGCGTTTTGACACAATAATAGGCGAAGGCTCTTGTATAGATCTATGTATTTGCGAACCATCACTTACACATACTTTTGTGTGGAATGTGTTGCCAGATCTATATGATAGTGATCACTACCTTATCATAATAAGCAACGAACTACGATCAACTATTCCACAACAACTAAAATGGAACTTAAAGGGTGCAAATTGGACAGAATTTCAACATTACATTGAAAACAATCTGCAAAACCTAAATGACATATAGATATAGACAAAACAATGTACCTCTGACAAACGTAATCACAAAATCAGCAAATAAGTTGGAATAATTAAATACAATCCAAACATCAGTCGCTACCTTGGTGGAACCATGACTGCAAAGAAGCATTAAAACAATCGAAACAAGCATGTAATACATTCAAACGACGCAAAACTCAAAAAAATTCCATAGGAATTTAAAAAATTACGAGCAATCCTTAGGTATACAATTAAAAAAGTAAACGTGACTCTTGGAGAGAATATGTCAACACAATACATAGTTCAACTTCTATACAACTATATGGAAAAAAGTCAACAACATGTCGAGATAAAAACCCTATAAATCAATAACTATTACGATCAAAACAAAAACGATTCTAAATATACCATAACAGAGGAAGAATTAGAAAATGTATTTCAAAACTGTAAGAACACTTCTCCTGGACTCGACAATATACATGTTTATATTACTTAAAATTTAGGCCCTCAATCTAAAGAAAATATCGTACCCTCAAAGCAACAGTAGGATATGTAAAAAAATGACTTTTGTGATAGATCGGAATAAACCCTTTTGATGAGTGTAACACTAGGACAAATACAAAGTGATATACTTTTTTCATAATATTACAATATCCTTGTGTAACTTAATTTCTTTTAGCCCTAAATTTTATAATGCAACACTAAGACCACATAAATATCATACCATATATTTTGTCGTTTACCCATTTTGGTCATCAATATTAATGCAATATTAAGTCTGTGGCTAGAATGGCAAAACGGGATAACTCTCATTTGGAAGTTTTTCGTCAAATAAAACGTCAATTTTTTCAAAAAGTTTATTAAACACGCAGGTTTCTACAGCAATCTGATGATAAGTTTACAAATTAACAATTTATTAAGATGATACTTGGAAAGAGAATTAAAGGCGCATTCTAAACACAAAATAAAAACGGATATTCTATATAATACGATATAATACGTTCACGATAAAATTCTTTAGCACTCTCATTAACTAACTTAATAAGGTCTAAAAGATCGTTTTTTTCACTTATTTGTCTTGGCTTATCATACAAATTATCTAAAGTAATGTTCTTGATATCGATAAGTGTATTTTGTCTTCTAAAATGTATTTCTTGAAATGGCTCATATTCCTGAAGCGACTATTTAAAATTAATAATACCAAATTCCTTGGTGTATCTTACCATTTCATAATTTCTCCCGCAAATTTCAGACTCATTTTCTGTCTTCTTTCTTTTATTTACACTACTTTAAATAAATTTTTAAAAATTAAAAAAGATTTAGGGTCATTTTAACTACCGTAAACCAATTTTTTCTAGTGTGGGTTGTCTCCTCTTTTTCTGTTTTTGTTTAACGCTAGTAGTAGTATTTGTTCCTGCAGATCTTACTATGTTATACCATTGATTATAATACCACTACCACTACTAGTTGGTAGTATCATAGGTTATAACCAATTTCTAAGTACATGGATAGAAAATGAGCATTTAAGAACAACGACTTTAAGCCTAATTTATCGATTGTTTGAGAGTAACACTTTACAAGAAACCGATGCAGATATTATATCCTGGGTATACAAATTAATACACCTTAGCTTTTGTTAATTCTGCTACTTATTATTAGATAATTTTTACTGTCATATTTTCATGAGTAGTGTGACTCATAGGCTGGAAGTTTTGATATGTGGCTATTGACAAGTTTCATTTTAGATTCGGAATTTTTTTTTTGGTTTATGCTGCCTTGATATCAGCCATAGGATATACCACAGTTGGATGACATTTTTCTCTTTGACAAAGAATAGCACTAAAACATACCTTGCAGTATTTGATTCTTTCTCCTTGAATTTTTAAAATTATGTTAAACTATTTTCCCTATTTTTTGAAGATTTATCTGTATCACTTCTGTTAGTAGTAATCTTCCAGTCAGAAATTTGAACTAATGTGGCAATATAACTTATCCTTCTATTGTAGTTGCTCATTCCCCAGTAACTTTGAAACAAAGATAATCTATGTTCATCAAATATTTTTATCTTTAACACTTTCTTCTACAATCTCGCAGTGACCGTGGACCTGCCTAGCTTTTATTGCGTTTCCTTTGTTTGTTTTATATCTATTTACCCGTATTTCGTAAAAACCTGTCTATTTTTTTTTCTACTTTTCAGGATTCAATTTCTACAATTCAAAATATTTACCATTGATTGGTTAAAACAATGTAAGTTTTTTCTTCATAAAATTAAAACGCTGGGACGTATGAACATAATTTACTGAAGTTTTGTTCTGAATATTCAGATAAAAAATCTGAAAATATGATAAATCACTACTATCATAATGTACTATTTTTTCTATTTTTTTATTAAACATCGATCACTAGTACGTCAAAGTAGAAAGAGTTACAAAATGAGTAGGTACATACAAAAGTATTTACCATTGGTTAACATCAGTGTGCGATTTTTCTTTATCTGAATCAAAGGCTGGGTAGGTATTAACGTAATTTACTGATATTTCAGTCTCACGACCACGATTTTCTTTATTGTTATCTACATAATTCCCTGCGAAAGAAAATCACAAAATATTATTTAAAAAATTTAAATATGTTGGCAATTAACTTACTTGTATTTAATGTCTTGTAATCGTTATTGTCATTGTTTAAACACCTTAATACAAGCCCTTTAGTTCTTTCGCGAATGGAGGAATAATAATTGTTATTTCGAGTTGCCATCGTAGTGAACGTTCCTTGATAAAATTTGCGTGTGCTGTCTTTACAATTTAGACAGTACTGACAAGAAACTGATACAAATATGATTTGCGTGGACACCGCATTCTTGCAAAAAGGGATAACTTTGTATATCCTAGCAATAATGCTTTTATATATATTTCTTCTATCACATTCCGGCAAAAGGGGATATCTTGATTTAATGCCTTTAACTAGCACACATTTCGAACAATTCTCAAACTAAAATAATTTAAATCGATTTGCTTCTCAATTAATTTCATAATGTTAGAAAATATGTGCACATATACCATTTTACTAGTAATTACTATTTTGCTCTTTAGAAGATATCTTGAGTAATATCCTTAAAACAGTCGTAACGATCAAATTGTAGTCAAGGTATACCCCTTTTTGATGAAGATAATATTTTAATTGGTAAACTTTCACTTAACTCACTTTACCAAGATTCTGCAGAAGTAAAATTGCTGTCAAATGGTATACATAACACTATTTTGTAAAAATTCGACTATTCCCTTTTGCCTCAGCACAGAAGTATCTTACGCATATATTCTACTGTTGCCATGTACTTGTTGCTGAGATCGATTATGTCTTTGTTTATACTATCCAGCTTACGATCACCATATTATCTTCAATAATCTTAAAAATGGTCTATTACATTGATGTTAAAAGGTGTATGTTAACGAGTAAAAAGGAATAATTGGCCAATTTAACTTGTACAAATTATGGGTATCTAGAAGTCAGTATTTAGTGAATTTAGCGAACAAAATAACACTGATTTTATCTGGAATTTATCAGCAGAGGAAAAATGGTAAGTTCATTCATGATAAATTCCCCTTTAGAAATTTTGGGCTAGATTAATAAAATGCAATATATTTGTACTTCACAACTTTCAGATCCTCGCTATTACTATTACTGATTCTGATGATTTTTTTTTTCAATTTATTATGTTTATATGTTGTCCAATTTTGAAATTTTTGGAAAATAAGTATGTTCATGTTTATTATTTATGTAATAACATGTGTGAACAACAAAACTGTTTTGTTTTTGTATTGAAGGTGTAAAATTTTAAACAATACTTTTAGTTGCAATATAAGTTTATAACTAAAAAAAAATACGGAAATTGTTAAAAAACAGATTTCTTTGAGGGCAACAGTAGAACAACTATTTTTTCCAATTATTTTTTACTTTTTTTATTAATTATATAAATTGTAAAACCCCTTTGTGGCTCAGTGGTAAAGCGCGTACCTTATAACCTAAAGGTCGTTGAGTTCGAAATCTCACTGGGTGGAGAAATTTTCGTTTATAAAAATTAATAAATGAAAATAATTTCTATCCTTGTGCGATTGGTACTCACCGGAGGGACCGCCGACGTTCGGATACAATTAGCGTCTCTTAGCAAAGACATGAGTGACTATTGCTAATATTCAAGACATTACTCTACACACCAAACACACACTAACTAGGTACCTGACTGTACCATGCCAATGATCATTAGTTGTCGAGGCTTAACTCAATAAAATATATATTATATATTAAATATATATAAATATATATATATTTATCATATATATATATATATATATATAAATTGTTATTTGACACATGTATAGTTAGGCACTCAAACAAAAATCCACACGTAAATCCGTTTAAATATAAAAAAGTTATTATATACATGAAATTTCTAAAATGTTCAAATGTGTTTTCTTGAAACTCATTACGTATTTTACAATATCTATGTTGCCTTTAAGGCGACGAATAACCAAATCTACAATTTAATCCATCCGAAACGTGTTTTTAAATATGTAAAAATTCAATCATAATAGCTATTCTAAAACCACCTAAACCAAATCAGATCATAACGTATCTACCGATATTACTTACAACCTAGTGATAAAAAATTAGAAAGATAATAAACAACTAGGCTTATGTGTTATTTAGAACCAAACAACTTAATTACTCCACAAACAATGTGGTTTCCGATAAACATCTCTCAACTTTAGACAACCTTGTTGACTTAGAATCAGAAATCCCCAAAGCATTTGCAATAAAACAGCACTGTGTTGGAATAGATTTGATATAAGCAGAAGCAACAATACATTATTGGAAATATTCAAACATTAAACACACTCAGCAATGTTATAAGGGGTACATATTAAAATACATTTAAAATTTTCTTAAAAACATACAAATCAAGTTCGAGTTGACGGGAACATATCTCAAACAAAATTACATAGTAATAAATGGTATACCACAAGGTCCAGGAACAAAAATGGTATACCCACTTAAACACAACTTTGTTCTTAGTAGCAATAAATTCGATATTAAAAAAATTGAAAACCCAGTCAAAGTAGACTGTACGCTGACGACCTAGTTATGATCTGTAGAGGAAAAAACATGCAACGATTCACAATCAATTCAAAAAGCGTTAAACACATTAAGAAATGGTTCAGCTACAAGAGGACTTCAGTTAACACTTCAAAAACGAAATCAATCTGTTTCTCAAAGACAATCAAAGCCAAACAAAATAATTTATCTACACGAACAAAAACTTAATATGTAGAAGAAATCGATTCTTGGCTATGACGTTTGATAAAAAATTACTTTGAAGACACATATTCAACAGTGAAAAACTCTGTCTACTGGTATAATTTTACTATCATCACTTGCCTTTAAAAACTGGGGTGCTGATTATTAAAGTTTAATACTTATTTACAAATAAATAATTCGATCAAAACTTGACTATGCAGCTATCGTCTACAACTCTCCAAAACAAACACATTTAAAGTCCTGGATATTATCAATATAGATGTCTACATATTTCTTTGGTATGCCACTACACCCATTTAAAGTCTCTATTGGAAAAGTTGGAACACTTCCTCTTTCTTTCGGAAGACAATATCTAAGCCTAACAATATGCAGCAGCAGTGTCATCAAACCAAAATAATCCCGTACTGCATAACATTTTTGCTGATTAAATTTACAAATAAATTTTAACATAACACATCAAATTGATCATCCTTTTTTACTTTCGTATACCAATCAATCATCACTTATCCAAATTAAATTTTGGAATTTCCAAAAACCTATGATACCATCCTCAATCCACATCCCTGCACCATGGACATATGTCTATTTCCTGCTATCGACACATCACTTCTAAACCAACTTAAGAAAAACAGGAGAATATCATAAAGGTTCATTAAACAAAAGTTTCATAAACTATTTAAAACAGATATAACAATACTACAAACAACGTATACACCCGATGCGTCAAAAAATGAAGACAAAGTTTGGAAGCACGCAATTTAATTCGGAAGAGATCCTTAGTTAGTTTCAAATTGTCGTCAATTACAATATCTTTTTAGCTAAATTATTCGCAATTCTAAAAAGCACTATCGTTAATATAAAACAAAAACAAAGAAAGATGTATAATAGTTACAGATTTTTCTAAGTTCATTATCCTCACTGACTCCATAATTGAACTGTGATAACCCCTCTTCTTCTTATTAAAAAAGAACTTGAAAACCTTTCAAGTAAGAACATCCAAGTTTTCTTTTTATGGGTGCCTTCTTATGTCGGAATTGAAGGCAACGAAGTTGTAGATAAACTGGCTAAAAACGCACCAACTAACCGATGTCCGAAGAAAGTAACATATTGGTATAAAACGTTTTAAAACCATACTTAAAACAAAAAAATACTTCAAAAATGACAACAAACTTGGAACAACACTTCATCAAGGCTATACAAAGTCAAGAAACATCACAATCTTTGGAAAACTAAACATAAAGACAGAAGAAAGCAAGGTGATACTTACCCGTCTCCGTATCAGCCATATACGACTTACTCATGACTATTTATTGCCAGCGCAAAAATAAATCAATGTGTGAAGTGTGCAACAGCGTTCTACGGTAAAACATTTTTTAATTACAGTTTTCGAAATATTAACAGTGAACGACTCAAGTATCACATATCCAACTCCCTAAAGATGCCCTAGATGAAAATACAGATACCCAAAAAATATGTTCTTATCTTCAACACTGTCAACTTCTTCAAAAGATTTTAAACATACATTGTAATACATATACATATTATTTATGATACACAAATACAAATAAATCATGCATATTATTATTATTATATTGTAAACTAATGTAGATACGCTAATTGTATCACCTGTCATATTAATCTCAATACGATTTTTGTCAAAATTTGAAAAGTAATGTCGAAAAATGTGTTCAATATAAAAAGGCTTCAGTTTATCATACTCTACAGTATTATTATCGTTAAAACCATTTTGCACATTGATAAGTGCAGTATTATAAAATTCTTTTTAAACTTTGACCATAATAAAATAAATTTGAGAAGGTTTTCCACGTCTTTTTTCTTATTTTCACTGTACCATGATTCACTAATGGCGTAGACATCACAGTACTGTACACTTCCACCAAATTGCATCGTTTTTTTTTCTTCACTATAAAATTACTAGAATCACCACAGTATGTATTTTTAGCTTCAAGGTCTTTATTAAATTTATTTGAATAAGAAAAAACGCATTGGGTTATGCATCAAAAAAGAAAACTTATTCAATAAAACTGGTTTTGCAGTATCTATGAAATTAAAAAGCTCCCAGTGTTTTGTCTACAGCTATATCCTCTGACTAGAAAGCAATGCTGAGTATCACTTAACGCTCTAAAAGTCTGCACATAACTAAATAGAAAACCCAAAACATTTTGATTTTTATTTGGTCCACTGCAAGTAATCAGAAATCATTTGAAGTGTCAATGATTTCGCTGGAACATTTCGCTTGGAACATTCTTTCCAAATCCCAAAAAGTTAAACAGAACTAAAACTACTTTTTGTTAGCCTCGATCACTTTGGTTTTCAGTCCATGTGTACACAAAAGTTTTAGTAGAATCTTGTGTATCTTCCATCAATACAAAAGTAAGGTTATACATTAAACCAAATTTGTTGATATTAAAATACCTCAC